GGAAAGGTGTGTCATGGGTTTTTAAGGAAATTAGAAAAAGTGGTCTAAAACCTAATGGAGCAACGTATGGACTTGCAATGGAGGTAATTATAGGATGAAAGCATCTGACACCAAGTAATATATCAAGTGTGTATACTGCAATATTGAAACAGGGGGATACAATTAACTCAACAGTTTTTACTTTTCTTTAAGATCTGAATCTATTTGAGAATTGCTTTTCTGAATCTGTACTTGTGCAATCATCTTCAGCCTGTTTTGTCATTTGCAAGTAACAACTTGGCTTAGTACAGTTAAGTCTGTTTCAAGTTATTTGAAATAAAAAGATCAGCTGTTATTGGGAAAAGTGAAGTCACTAGATCCATTTATCTTATTTATTAAGTTAACTATTTTGTTATATAGTGATTATTGCTATCTTCCCTGTATAGAAGCATTATATATCCCTGTATGATGGTTGAGATTTCCATTTTATTAAAAAGTTACTTTAAGTTATATTTTACTTCGGTCTTTATGGCTGAATGGGAAATTTATTTGATGAGGAAAATGTTACCTTCGGATGTTATTACCCTCAAAGCATGTTTGTATTCAAGTCTTACAGGTGGTGCTTGTTACAAGGTAATGCTGGAGTCAGGGAATTATGACCTTGTCCATGAGTTTTTTGGAAAGATGAAGAGAAGTGGGGAAGTTCCAAAAGCCCTTACTTATAAAGGTAGTTCTTTACTTCCTTTCGTATTATTTGCTATTGATATTTGGTAACTGATAGCCTCATATATATTTTATCTCACTTCTTTAGTGTTGGTGAGAACCTTCTGGAAGGAAGGTAAAGTTGAAGAAGCTGTGAAAGCCATCAGGGATATGGAAAGAAAAGGGGTAATTGGAACAGCTGGTGTATATTACGAGCTAGCTTGTTGCCTTTGCAACTGTGGGAGGTGGCGAGATGCTATTCTAGAGGTACTGTTTTCAATTTCTTTCAGTAAACTCAAATCTGAGCTTGAGAAATTTGGTGGTGGACATATTAGGTCCTGAGAACTTAAAATCCAACCTGTGGTCCCTCAACAATCCATGAATGTTGACTACATTAGCCCTAGATTCTGGACTCATCCTTAGAACTATCTAATATGGCCAACGTCTGTTTTTCCTTGAGCCATGTTGGGGAGGAGATCTTCGGATAGTGAGGGAGGGAACGAAAGGTTTATGGTTAGTTTTTCCATTGCTTGTGAGTCTTCTACTGAGATGGAATTGGAATGAGGATTTATAATAAAATTTCCAAACATCCTCCTTTTGAGTTCTCCAAAGTGGGGGCAGGGGTTTAGGTAAAAAGTATATTGTTTAATCATGTTAGTTATTAAAAACAAACGGGTGAAACTGTGAATTTATTATCTTATTAATTGTTTTATTTACTAATCCTTCTTCATTTGCTTCTCGTGGAAAATTAGTAACAGCCAAACAAGAGACAATTTACCCTTCCTTTCTTTTCCCTTTGATCCCATCCCCTTGCCTTCTGACTGGTGTGCACACTGTTAGGGACTCTGGGTGGGGTTTTAGGTTATGAATTTGTTTATTTATTCATGCTTTTCTTTTCACATATATGTGGTTAGATGAACATCTAGCTACTTATAAATCCTTATTAAGATGCATTGACCTTGACACGTGGCTACAGGTTGACAATATTAGAAGTCTTCCTCGTGCCAAGCCTTTGGAGATTACTTTCACTGGCATGATTAAGTCTTCCATGGATGGTGGGCATATTGATGATTCCATACAGATATTTGAATACATGAAAGACCACTGTGTTCCTAACATAGGAACCATAAATACAATGCTGAAAATATTTGGCCAAAATGATATGTTTTCTAAAGCCAAAGTTTTGTTTGAGGAAGTTAAAGCAGCCAAATCAGAATCTTATGCCACTTCAGGGGGTGGTAATAGCTCTGTTGTTCCAGATGCATACACATATAACTCAATGTTGGAAGCCTCAGCTAGTGCACAGCAATGGGAATACTTTGAGCATGTGTACAGAGAGATGATGGTTTCTGGCTATCAATTGGATCAAAATAAACACTTGTTATTACTTGTTAAAGCTTCAAGAGCTGGCAAGGTAGAAAATGTACTTATTTATATTCAGTCTATTCTTATTTTATATGTCTGCTCATGGTGTCATATCCTATAAATTTGTGTTTCAAACTATGCTTGCACCCAAGAGTGCCTCTGTTTCATCCATCAATTTACTATAAAGGTGAAAAAAGAGTACTATTTTTGTCAGTGTCAACACATTTTATAAACTATTTTGTACTGTGCACAAGCATGTGTAAAAAGCTTGAATGTTTAGTTCAGCTCAAAAACGTAATATATTTAGGCTTGTGGCCTTGATCTCCATAGAAGACGTTTGCAATAGATCAATCTTTAATCCTTTATAATTAGACTAACATTTGTTGGATGATTTCCACATTCAATTGCTTATCTTACCTATTACTGGTTGCCAGTCAGCTGACGCAACGACAAAAAATACATCTTAGTGGTTTATTAATTTTTATGTGTCTAGCTAAACGTTGAATTTGATGGCATATTTTGGTTTCCATGCAGTTGCATTTACTGGAGCATGCATTTGAAATGATTCTGGAAGCTGGAGAAATTCCTCACCATCTTTTCTTTTTTGAATTGGTCATTCAAGCTATAGTTCAACATAATTATGAGCGAGCTGTTATCTTAATAAACACTTTGGCTCATGCACCATTCCGAGTGAGTGAAAAGCAGTGGACGAACTTGTTCAAGGAAAGTGAAGACAGAATTAGTCATGAAAATCTAGAGCGATTGTTGGATGCTCTTGGTAGTTGCGACGTTTTTTCAGAATCAACAGTCTCTAATTTAACAAGATCGTTACATGTTCTTTGTGGATTAGGTGCACCTAGAAACTTCTCTAGTATAATCCCTTTTGGAAGTAAAGATTCTGTTAATGGCTCAGGTCTGAGTGAAAAAATTGATGATGATGGAAATGCTCCAAAATTTCCCACAAGAATGATGATTGAAGGTGCTGAATATGAGAATGACATTTTTGTTGGTAGTTATGATTCAGCGACGTCTGCCTGTACTCATGATCGAGTCAATGAAGGAGATAATGATGATGTCATGGTTTTCAGGCCTCAAAACTCTGATGTTGAAGATGGAATGAGTTCACAAGCTGATAGGTTGGAATGCACTGATAATCTGGCACTTGACAAGTCTTCTGATGCATTGGACAAGAAGCTCTGGGATGATAGAAGCTCTGAAGATGATGAAAGCTATGAAGATGATAATGGTGAGGGAGTAACTAAGAAGAAGCCCACAGCATATGAAATATTAGAATTATGGAAAGAATTGAGAGAGGAGGATGGGAGAATGTTACAATCTGAACTTGGTCATGGCTAGTGATGGCAAATTGTTCAAGTGCTTACAAGTTACATATACTATCTAGATAGGGACAGTAGATGAAACAATTTTCATTTAGATTAGCCTGTTCCGATCAATCTTGGCGATACCTGGTAAAATGTTATAATCAGAACAAGGGAACCAATTAAAACTTTGTAAAATTAAAATGTTGGCAACCTTTCCCTTGTCATAATATTTTTTGCATGAGATTGTACTTAATATTTCAAGGATTTAACTATTTTTAGTTTCTAGAATAAATATAATAAATTTAAGAGCTAGTTCTTGCCTCTCTTTTTCTTAGCTTTTGGTTGCTCTCGTTATATTAAAATTGATCAGATTCAGTTCCTATCGTTAAATGGTTGGTAACAAGTGGCGTGATTAACTGAGGCCTTGTAGACAATAAATTGCTGATTTGTTAAAAATATTTCACAAAATTACTAAATCATTTGTACTGATATTTCAATTTGAGTTACCTATCAGTGTCGGATACTTTATAGATACTTATCAACTTTTATAGATACCTATCAACGAAAGTATTTTTTATCTATAAAACAATAATATTTTTATAATAACAATAATTTATAACTTTTTATTTTGACAATGTTTAATATATAATTTTAATTTAGATTTAGACAATAATAATCATACATTTATTATAATTTTAAGAATTTTTGTATGTTTTTTAATATAAATATATTACTTATTGTATCTTATTATTTTTAAAATAAATATATATCCGACCTTTAATCAAGGCATGAAAAAGCCAATATACCTCGTCAAAATCTCCCTTCGTGGTCTCAATTATTCTCCTTTTTTGATGGGAATCCGGTCCCCAACTATAATTCATTATGTCTATGTATAACTGCTGGGGCTGAAGTCCAACCTTTTTTTTTCCTTAGTTGCTTTGTGCAATCGAATTTCTTCATTTGGAAGTACCATGATTTTGACCGAGTGTCATTTTATCCTCAGCATTGGAAATTGGGTTGTAACTGCATGAATATTGGATCAATGAATTATTGGACAGCTATTGGCTCATGGGAATATTAGATTATTGATGAGGAGAACATGCCTTACACTATACTTCATTTGGTTTAGTTATCTTGGATTAACGGGTGAATGTATATTCTACAATAATCCTTGATGTACTTTGGCTGGACTTATTATAGTCTTGTAATTAACGTAGTTCAATACTTTCATTGAATTATATCTTTTGGTTGACTAAAAATACGTTTTGAACTAGTTTTAGAATGTTACCAGTTGTAATTATTTAAGCATACTGATTGCTCGTAAAAGATCATTTACTAGCCTTTTCAAACAAGCACAACAACTAGCACGCATGACCGAGAACCTACATTTATATAGAAGTATTGAACTACGTTTTCTCTATTGTCAGTATTGTGCAGATGCACGATTGATAATAATTTATACTATTCGCGCCCAGGTTTTCAAAGAACTGACCATTTTCTCAATTTGGAACAAATACCTCTATACCCTATACACAATACATCGTCGTACTGTCCTCAGCATTGGCTAAAATTCCAAAGACTTTAGAACAAGGAAGGCAATATATTACGTAGCAAGAGTAACATAGCAATGTCTTAAAACAAGCATCCTTGAACTGAATATATGATCTGCCTATAAATGACAATCCATATTGCTTTTGAAACACTTTCTTCATTTACTCTACGTGGATGTCAATCATTCTACTACAGAAAAACATGGTCATTTCCACTCTTCCGTTGCTGCTTTGTCTTCCTTTAAAAATAAGAAAAAGGAAAGGAAAAAAAGGCTATTATTGACTCCTGACAATGTTTCATGAATCATCCTGCACTATTCCAGATTTACAAGCCGAAAAGTATGTACAGTTACGGAAAACAGGGAGGAAGGGCAGCAGAAAAACAATAATCTTAAGTCAACTCTGCTAATAATTGATCACGTGTCCAAACCATCTGCAAAGAAGTTACAAACTATTAAACAGGGTTAACTAAACGAACTAACATAAGTTTCAATGTCGCATTAGAATAAAGCAGCACTGATTAATGCTTAGAAAGAACTAAGACTTAATGAAATTACTTCTGTACAGGTAATCAGAATAATGAGGTGATGACAATAGGTTTAAACGAACAAAACCTAGACCTAAAAGAAACTACTTTACAGACATCAGAATAATGCCCAGCACTAATTAAAGCTTAGGAAAACCACTTAACCCACAGTAACTAACAGAGTTAGGGTCCTTTTAGAAGAGATAGAATCTTGGTAGGAAGAAAACGTGATGGAGGAAGTTACTCCTCATTCCTGGGGTGTTTTGGTGATTCTTACGTTACTTTCAATTCCTGGTCCATTTACAGTTTCAAACTCCTTCCAAGGTTAAATCCTTTTAGTCACTTTATGTTAGGTTACTTTATGCCAATAACCTAATCAAGACTCTCTTCTCACCACAACTCTCGAATAAAGAATGGAAAAGTATGTATATATGTATTAATGATGAATGAGTGAATCAGACTACAAGAATCACCCCAAGGAAGCCTAACCTTCCTCCTCTGGAAAATATCCAGTCTGAACAAATTCTCCGATCTCCCTCTCCCCCTACTTAGTTTATTATTTATACCTTCTCTCTCTTCTAACAACTATAACATATTACTCTCCTTACACGTGTCTCACACGTGTCTAACTCATTCTCTTTTATTCCTAACATT